TCTGTGCTGTGGTGAGGACGAAAACCAGACTGAAGGGGTTCAAAAAGGTCATTTTTTTTGGAGATGGCGGTGGAGTTGTTTGGAGATGATGCGTTCTATTGTTTTAGAGAGAAAGGGGAGGTTGGAGATGGGGCGATAGTTACTGAGGGAGGAGGGATCCAGACCGGGTTTCTTGAGGATGGGAGTGACAGCAGCAGTTTTGAAGGCAGAGGGAACGGTTCCTTGGGACAGGGAGGAGTTGAAAAGGTTGACAATGTAGGGGCAGAGGACGGGGAGGCAGGACTTCAGAAGAGGGGTGGGTAGAGAGTCAAGCGAGCAAGTTGTGGGTTTGGAGGAGCTGATCAGTTGGAGTATTTCAGGGGGGGTAACCAGAGTGAACTGGGAGAGAATGCCGTGGGGAGGAGGGCTCGGGAGGTCAAGGGAGATGGAGGGAGGAATTGTGGCGGTGGATGTTGGGGGAGATGTTTGTGTGTCAGATGCAGCGGATAGGGAGTGATTAATGGCAGTGATTTTGTCAGAGAAAAACTGGAGGAATTAACTGCATGTGGAAGTGGAGGAAGAGAGGGTGTCAGCACGGGGTTTGAGGAGCTTGTTGACTGTAGAGAAGAGGGTCCTGGGGTTACGGGAGGGGTCGATGAAGATGGTGGAGAGGTAAGCAGATTTTGCGGCATTGAGGGCGTCTCTGTAGGTAGTGAGATGGAGTTTGTAGGAATCATGGAATCAATTATAATATCATGTTTCCCACAGGACTGTACTCCCCTGGTGTTTGCTTCTCCTGGATCTTATGTGAAAGTTATTGGAAGTCTGCACAGCTCTACTGTAAGTTAATGAGGAGGTTAATGATGGTTTGATTGATTTTTCGGTGATGTTTTCCTTTGTGTTGTTGCTTCAGGGTGAAAGGTCATTGCAGGCCAAACACATCCGAGTTATCACAGACCTGAATGAGATCACATCCCACATGCTGGAGGTGGTGCACGCTCACATGCAGATTTTTAAAAAGGTGAGCAAGGTTAATCTTGTTTAACTAAGCTTCATTTGAAACAACTTAAATGGGAAATGCATTCTCAGCTGTGCTTCACTACAGATTGTTGAGTTCTTTCATCAGAGTTACGGGCCTCTGACGGCCTGATTTCAGTCTCTGCTCATATTCATTTTTCTCCATCTGTTGTTGATGCAGAAATTTGATGTGAACATGAACATCACTGTGGTCCCATCAGAGGATTTGCCCTCCGTCCAGGGTCAGGTGAGTCTGTTGAAAGGGTCAGTTCACACAGATAATGACTTAATAATGATAATATTATAGAAAGTTTAATATGTGTACATCTCAATAAATCATGCAACAAATATAGTTAATAATATATACTATGTTGTCACGGTGGCAGCAATGCCAGGACCAAACAATAATGTGTATTATTATTTTGTAAGTGACATTTACAAAATATTGCAAGACCTGCAAATAATCACAAAGTATTTATACAATTGCATCCAAAACACTTTCCACTCTGTGATGAGAAACCTCTGTGTCCTCGTCTGTAGAAAAAAAGGCTCATTGATATTGATGAAAATGACAAGTTAAACATGTCATGCATTTAGAGCAGGGGTGTCCAAACTTTTTTCACAGAGGGCCACATACAGAAAAATATATACGAAGGGCTTCGCCACTCACTACAGGTGAGGTATATTGCCTCTTAAGTTCAGTTATGAGTTAGCAAAATCAATCAAATGTAGGTAAATGATGCTTGAGTGTTGGCAGCTCAGCTCTTAAAACAGAAGCCTCAGATTGATTATAATAAGGAGAAATATTAAGGGTATATTTCAAGCTTGTTATGTAAATAAGTAATTGGGCTTTTTTCTTATCAACCATGATATGTTAGAAAATGTTTCCAACTTTAATTGAGTGAATGTATTTGAAGTGGTCTTATTAACACATGAATACTACTGTGTAAGTACAATATAAGACAAGCACAAGTTTCATTTGTAGGCCATATTCCATTATACTTTTAAAATTAGCTGAGGGCCGATTCAAAATGGTCCGCGGGCCGTAGCTTGGACACCCCTGATCTAGAGAGATGCTGTTTTAA